TTAAAGCTGTTCCTGTATATGTAACAGTCTATATATATAAAAGGCTGTTCCTATGTCCCTATGTGTACACACACACACACACACACACACACACACACACACACACACACACACACACACACACAGAGCCTTATACATGTGTGTATATTACGTATGTATGTATAATATATATATAGCCTGTTACATATATATTGATACATGATATGTATGTATACAGGAACAACGTCAAAAGTATTGTGGGGTATGTTAAGGAATATCCTTAAAAATTATATATATAAGTAAGGTTATTCCTGTATATATAATGCTAAAAATCTAATTTTTTTTTAAGCATTACACACACAAAATACATGTTAGAAAGATTTGGATTGTGTAGCAATCATACTATGTTTTTATAAAATTACAATTTATAGTTTCAAAAATTGCTCAACTGTTAAATACACTATATATTTATAGTTTAGATGATATAGCCAATAACGTGTATATAATTTTTTAGCCAATTTTTTTCGAAAAACAAAAATTGATTTTTAAAGTAAAAAATACCTCGCTGATATTCCTAGAAAGATTTTTATTCTTATTATTTTTTCATATTTTTCTTACTTTCGTCAGTATTAAATTTCCGATAGTCTATGGAAAGTTTCGAATTACAAGAGAAAATTTGCAATTTTTTTTTATTTCATCCCCTCTACCAGGAGCTTCCTTTTACAAATATACAAATTTACATTTTTATCATCCCCTCCTCTCTCTTGTCCGAAGTTTATTTATTTTGAAAAATTTTCCATTTATTTTAATATATACATATACACTGCCTAACCGAAATAATAATAATAATAATAATAATTTAAAATAACGAAACTTTATGATTTTTATTTCTTTTTAAACATATTATTTAGATTTTTTCCAAATAAATTCGATAATAGTAAAATTCTGACGGCAACACATGTTGGAAAAGGCAGTAATCAACTTGTTTACTTCGTTTCTATGTAAAGTAACGATGACAGATTAGCTTAACCACCGGTGGCGGCGCCACTTGTCTCTCCGAGCTTACGGGCTGCCAGATTCTCGTTTTTAAACGAAAACATAATATAAATTTAAACATCGTTTAAACATCTCTTAAAATTTTGATAAATTGTAAGTAAATTTAGAATATTTAACAGAAAATTCAATAATTTACTTATTTTATCAAAATTTTAAGAGATTTAAATTTATATTATGGTTTCATTAAAAAAAAAAAAAGAGAGAGAGAGAGAGAGAGAAAATCTGGCAGCCTTGTAAGCTGGAGATACAAGTGGCGCCATCACCGGTGGTTAAGGTAATCTTTTCCATTTTTTTTTTCTTTAAAACGCAAATTACATAACTCGCCATCTAGCGGCGTAAATGATAGATTTGATGCTGAATTTCGAGAGGTAATTCTCGATTTTTGAAGGTTGTTTGCAGCGCAGTTTATAAACTCGAGGAGTAATGTCTCACTTCTCAATCTCGACCTACTTCCTAGGGATTACTTTAGAAAGTAATCGAATTGAATCGACCAAATATTTCCTCGAAATAGGACGAGTGTACGTCAGAAGTTGTAGGATGGATTAAGCTAAAGTACAACACTTTGCTTGTAATCCTTCAAAAGTGATTTCTGACACGAAACTCCATAGATTTAATTTCATTAAAATACAGGCTGAAAGTGAAGGAAAAATATTTTTTTTCCCTCTCGTCTCTTCTCTCTTTGCATTTTCTCGAAGATGATTACTTTTTTTTTTTTTTTTTTGTTTTATTATTCCGAAAAATTAATCAGCTCGTACAATCGAAGAAAAATGCTGATAAAAAAGTGAAGCACTTTACATCGGAATAATAGCTTCTACACATCATCAAATTATTAAAATAAAAATAAGAAATGTGAGATGTTATCTCAGCGTGTCTATTGCTTGTTACTACGAAAGTCCATTTTGTTTTTACTTTGCTGGCTGTTATATATTATAGAAGGAAAGTATGGCGATCCATCAAAAAAGGGCCCCAAGATTTTTATATTTTTGGAATCTGGGCCGTGAAACGTCGAGGTATTTGGGGTTTATTTTGTGTGTGTGGTTTGTGAGGAAATGTTCACCCACTTTAAAGCTTAATAAATCCAGTCCCTTTGGTCGAAAATTTCTGAAGTTTTGTAGTGCGAATTGTTTGTTAGAGGTGTCGATGCTATTAAGTTTTGGTGGTTAAAGGTCGAAGGGGTGGGGAGACAGAGGAGGGTCACTTGTCATATCTCGAGTGGGATAGGATTTAATGACTATTTAATTCGTTATTACTATTTGCGATGTTTTATAAAACTCATTTCTACTCTGAAAATTAAGCTTTGTCATTTTATAATAATTAATAATCTGTTATAAACTTTTTATAACAGATGGCGCCATATCCAATTATAAAGTTTGGCCAGGAAAATTAGGCAACTCATAGCTAGAATTTTTAGAAGTAAAATTTTTCATAATTTTGTTCTAAAAACAGACCTATTTTATGAAGGAATTTACTATTTGGTTAATTATCAACATTTTTACGGTGAAGCGAACTTATCGCCTTGTTTCCGAATGATCTTTACGTGGCACTCAACAGAGCACTTTATCACTGATAAAGAGAAGAAAGTATTTATAAGTGTTTAAGTGTTACAGAAAATTCTAAATGTTTCGAGGAAAATAATGTTAGAAAATATGTGTAAGAGGAATTTTTAACATTCACCAGGGAAAAACCCCGAAGGAAAGTAAAGAAACTGCTAGAGATATTTCATATAAGTATTACCACTACCACTACTACACCCAATCCATGGTTAGTAGGTAGGAAAAATAAAGAATAAAATTGATTTTATTGCGTTATTCTTTGAAAAATATTAAACATGAAAGAGATAACAAGGATTACTTTAGTATGTTGTTTGCGCAATGCAGAATATAGATGAATTCGAAATATGTGGAGATGGCACTCGTATCAATATTTGATGTAAATCGCTGCCGAACAGACAAATAGAATTTTGACAAGAAGGAAAAAAATAAAAAAATAAAATAAACTGTCTTGAGAATTGCAGTTGTTTTTCGAGGGAAAAAAGCAAGGTTTTTACTAGTTGAGTGTTTGATAAAAATTGAAAAAGTCACGTTATTCTTTGCCGCTAAAAGTGGCAACCTTTCTCTCTCTGTTAAAGTTGATAATAGGAAAAGATAATGAGTTGGGTTGGGTTTAAGTATAAATTTTAAGGAAAAAACAGCATAAAGATTTTTATGTCAATGTAAATCAAAGATAAGTATATGATAATTTTAAAAAATAATGAATTTATTATAACAAAGATGAGATGGATAACTGAGATTACATATAACATTAATATTTATTACTTTTTTCTTTTTATTAGTTATTAAGGTAAACAAAATTACAAAATATCCGTTATAGAAGATGCTTCCTAAGTTTATTAATTAATTAAAATTTAAATTATTTAAAAATTTCTGGTAAAACAGATGTTCTTCATTAGTATATATCAGCCTTACTCGTTGAACTGTGCAAATCATTAAACTGTTCCTTCTTATAACAGTCTAATTCATGTGGTTTGATTCACAAATTATCATTTACGTTGAATCTTCCACAGTGACTCATAAAGTGGATCTTTACCGAAGAAACCACGATGCTTTGACACGACAAATGGGGATTTAGATTTCTCATTTGTGAAAATAAATTTAATTTTCTGTAAAAAAATGTATGGGTTTCATCAAATTAAATAAGTAAAATATACAAGAAAATTAATTTCCGCAGCGTTAAATATTACATTAATCTAGTTTTAATCAAGCATTTTTCATAAATATTTTAATACATGCGATGCTTCAAGATTAAGTAGATGGCTTCTGAAACTTTCTTATACATCTTGAAATTGTCCTAACAGAAAGGAAAGTTCTATTTTTCTAACTAGGCCTTTTCCCAATTCCGATAGTGTTGCTGCTCTTGAGAGTCTGGATGTTTTCAAGTTGTTGATCAAAGTGCTTTCAAGATACTTGGCTAGAATGCCACGAATTGAGTTATTTTTGTTTTGGTGCTGCATCCACAAGGTGAAAAGTACATTGACAATAGTGGTGAATGCAACTGCTGTGTGGATTGTGAAGTTCTTTTCTTCTGTACCACCCTTATGAACGTATATATATTGAAGTACAGTATGTATGTATTTAAGTCTTCTACACAATTTTCTATATCTATAATCATTTTTTGCTCAGAACTTGGTGTATATCACATACTATAAAGAATAATTCTATAAAATGCTTTAAATATTAAATTTTAAACATATTTTTTGTATTTGTTAAATGTTTGTCTACGAGGACTAAGTTTATTAATAGGACGTATTGCACTGGTGTTTTGGTTTTTTCCTCAGTTGCAAAAACCAAAACACCAGTGCAATACGTCCTATTAATAAGCTTAGTCCTCGTAGACAAACATTTAACAAATTGTAGAAAATAAGGACATAGAGGCATATGAATTAATATTTTTTGTATGTTTTTCTCTAATTAAAGGTATGTTTCAAATTTCGGCCATTACAGGCCCTTTATACTATACAAAAATGTTCACATTATTTAAAATGATTACAATTTTTATTTTATATTATTTTTTAAATAATTAACTTCAAAGGAAAATACATTTTAAATTATAAAAAATATTCGGAAAAAAGTAAAAAAGATTTTATTTTAAAAAATTTTTTATGTAGGCACTGCTTATGGCGCCATCTCTTAACATAAAAATGAATAATTCGGATTGAAAGCAGGAAATGTTATTGAACAAAATCATATTTAAAAATAATTCTGTTTAAAATTTATAATATAATTCTCCCAAAATGTCTTGAAAGAATTAAAAATTTTATTTGTACTTTTTAGATAATTTATTCAGCTTACAAGATGTTAAACTTATAAATTTTAGAATTTTACAAATAATTTATTATAACAATTAAAATATTAAATATAAAAATAATTGCGTTTATATAAAATTTTATTATTTTACAAAATTTACAGATTTTTTTTTCTTTTTCCTGCTTTTTTGAATAAAATCGAAGATTCTTGTAAGTATCAGGAGACTTGATAAATGTGTCTGGTTTTAAACTTGTATATTCTTACAATTGATAAATGCTTTTAATACTGAAAAATTTTGTATATCATCTTCGATAATTTTTTGATAATACACATTTCTAACCACGTGGAAAATAACAAAGATAAATATCTAAGTTTCGTACATAGAGAGAGAGATCTTTATCTAAAATAGCTTCACATCATCAACTTGATACATCAAGCGATGTATTAAAAGAAATCTTAATTTAAAAGCAATTTTCTATTGCAGATTTTTATAATACGTAATAAATTATCTTATTTTATTCTTTATTCCATGAAGAAGAAAAAGAAAAAAATTTTTTTTCGGTCTCGGATGACCTATCTCTTTCTTCTATATCTGTATACCTTACAGAAATTCCTTAATTGCCGTGTCCATGACCTATTACACTAATCAGTCTCTACATGTCTGAATTATCACGTCACTTTTTTAGCCTTTAAGACAATATTGTCCTCTTTTCTGTGACATTTAACTCTTATAACTCTTCTTCTCCTTTATCACCCTTTTTTCTTTCTTACGAACACGCCATTTTTTAATGTTAATGCCTTTTTATACTATTTTATTGCTTAAAAATTTTTAAAATGTTTGTTAAATTAATTTCAAAAAATTATGTATGGATGCATGTTTGTGTGTGTGGGGAGCACGATTTTTTTCACCCTCTTTCAATCTTAATAACTCCTGTGCTTTTTGTGGAAATTTTCTGAAATTTTACAGGGAGGTTTGTTTATTAGGGGAATTGATGCTATTAAATTTTGGTGATTAAAGGTCGACGGGGTAGGAAGATAAAGGGAGCGCGTGTATCTCGAGTAGAGTCGGACTTAATGACGATTTCACTCGTTATTAGCATTTACAGTTTTTTTTATAAACTTCCTATCCTCTAAATTAAGCTTTTTGCCATTCTGTAATAGTTAAAAATATAAAAAGTTTTAAAAATAAAATATCGTAACAGATGGCGCTACCAAACGTTGCCGGGAAGATTAAGCAATTTTGCCGGATTTTTTTTTTTTTTTCTGAATGTTACCAGAAAACTTTCCAATTTTAACAATGAGATAAAGAAAAGTTCTGATTTTTTGTTCCGCTGGCAAAACGTCAAGAACTTTGCCTTTTATATATTCACTTTCGATATTATAGTCATAAATCCTTTCTGTTTTATGAATATTTCAAACACACAAATCCACGAAAGTGATTGGATCTTACTCTATAATTTTCATAAGAGTAGCGTACACATAAAAAGTTACACTAGTAATAAAGAGGGATTTCGTATTTTGGTCCTAGAAAAGAACCTATTTTGCTAAATAAATTCGATTCTAAAATGATTTTTCCTTGGAGGTATTGACATTAAACGGTGACTAATCTTGAATATTTGACTTATTTTTTATTTAACCTTCTAAATATCCTGTCAATCAAACAGCTGCTGAAAGGTTTCTTCGCATTGCAAAGCCACTTCTATGGTATGAGCAATGTCAAACACATTTACTCATTTTCTTATCAAGTAAACATTAAAGTGTCAACATTAAGTCATCTTTCAGTTTCCTATTTTTCTGATATCCGAGAAGCAATCACTAATGCAGAAGAGAGAGGAGATTTCAAAGCCCCGTATGTTGATTTTCACACAACCTTGGTCCAGATTTTTTTGTTTGTTTATCATAAAAATAGACCAATTGCAAGATCTTCAACTCGAAAATTTCTATATTACGTATTTACATCTACATATTTTTTTTTCTTCTAGGTACCAAATTTTTATGTAGTCAAGTTATGGCACCCATAAGGAACGAAGAAGGAGAAATATGTATGTTTATAATTAATTTTGAAGATATTACAGATGCTCCTTATAGAGATGATTATCAGCCGTCACCCATCCCAAGCCCAAGGCTTTGTAAGTAGAAAATATTTAATTTTTTGTGACATTTTATTGATATTTAGGACGGAAAAAATCTATAACGGTAGCTATTTTCATTATTGATTTATATTCATAATTAAAATCTTCTTTCTTCTTCTCTTTTTTATGTCTCAGTCATAATTCAAGATGGCACCTTAAAAAACTGTAAAAAAATATATGTGTACATATAATTCAAAGGATCTATTTTATTAATATTTGAAACTATAGTTAGCGTCGCCTAGATATTATTTTATATCTACATTTTTTCAGTGTTAAAACATATCCCAATCCTGCAGCGAGTTATACCGTCCAAGAAACAAGAAGAAAAAAGGATAATGTGCTCTGCAGACATGTCACCTGTTTCTACCTCATCAGGTCTTTGTAATCTCTTGATTCATGTTGCTTTGCCGCTCTTCTAAAAAAAAAAAAAGAATATATCTATATATATATCAGCACCCGCATCCCCTGCACCATTTTTGCAATGGCTTTATGATCAACAATTTTAATTGAATTTCTGCGATTATTTGCTCTAATTAACCAGCTGAACTAACATCAGTGATTACCAGAAGAAAAAAAAATAATATATATATATAAATATGTTTATTGCATACATTTTTTGCGAAAGCATGATTTTTGGAGACTTCATGAGCATGCTTTTTTGCGATCATTTTTACTTATTCCCTCACTAATTTTACTAATTGATGTTGCTAACCAGTTGTACTTTGATATTAACAACTGTATATTTTTGCAGATCGTAGCAAAACCCTTCGCCTTCGCCTCCCTCCTACCCGTTATGAGTTAGATAGCCCAGAAATCGAGACAGTGGTGCCTACTGAAAGTGATATCAACCCTCCTGTTGGAAGAACGCAAAGTTTAGATATGTGTGATCATGTGAAGCATCCTGGACAGGATCATCTTAAATCTCTTCCTCTAGCTACAGGTAAATTTTAATTTTTAGTAAAATTAGTTTTTTACACTTATAACATACTGAAATTTTCATTTAGCGAGCTTAGAAAGTAATTTTCTCGAATCCCACCATAATTGAAAAGAATTTTCTTAATATGAATTTCTTCCTCCATTATCCATTTATTGAACAGCATTCCAACATTTCGAAATAAATTCCAAGAATGCGTGCTTCACAAGACATGAATTTTTTTTAAAAATAAGATAATTATTAAAATAAATGTTTAATATTATATAAATTTTATCTTATTTAAATAATTTAATAGACTATAATTAAAATAATCCATCTTGTCGTTCCTCTAGTTTCATAATGATGATAAAGAATATACTTCTGAACTTCATCACGAAGGTGAAGTTTTTTTGAAAATTTTCCAATATTTCCAGAATTTTAAAGATTTTTAAGATGATTTTTATGAGCAATTCACACACAAATTAATTAACTGAATCACTTTAACATAAATTAAAAGTATCACAAGCAAAATACTTTAGTCATCGTGAATTAACATAAATTAAACGAATTTTATATAAAATTTGTTTTAAATCACTCCTTTTAAATTTCCGTTCGTGATTTATGAGCGCTATCGACGGGAATACATCAGCAATATGCAGTATAGTAAGGTGTATATACAGTTCACAACATAATTCCTCCTGCTGATGCACTAATGCAGATCGGCAATTCTTTATCAGAATATCGTGAGCACGCGAATTATTGAGGTAATATATCAGAATGTGCTTCAAGTGTGTCGTTATTTTTTACACAGTCCAAATAAATCGAGGGATGGGTAAATTAATTCCGAATTATCCTTTAAATGCAATATTAAAACATCAGACTCCAAATTGTGCGATTGAAATTCACCATTGATGAAAAATTAATTTTCATATCCAACTTTTAAACGGCGATCAATTTAGTTGCAGAAAACTTAATTAAAGGGATTATTTTATTTTGTTCTTATTATTTAAGTAAAATTTTCTCTTACATTACTATTCAAAATGTCATCGCCATCTTTGCATCTTTATGCTGAGCGGCTGCTAAATGTATATGAAATTAAACCAATATTGTTATTGTAGCGTGATAATTATTTTATTTTATTTTGTAGATGAATATTAATTACTATATTTCGAGCATTTATAGTATTTTAAATACGAAATTACGTTTATTCTAAGGGTTAAATTTGAATCTGTTAGTGTCGCCTTCTGGTAGCTGCAAAAGAAAATCGAATACATACTGTATGTTCGTGTTTTAATAATAAAGCACGTGATAAAATTTTGTAGGAAGAATAAATATAATTTTAGATAACATTCTGACAATTACAATTCGAATAATTCATATAATTAATAAATTAATGAATAGTTCATGTTTTGCAAGAAGATGGAATTTTTCTCTGATTCCTCAGGAGTAGCTTCTAAGTAATTTCTTCAATAAAAGAAAGTTAAGCAGAATTATTATATTGAATATCTTAGGAAAATAATAATAAATATATATATATAAGACCATCACTTAATGGTATAAGATTGGATCGATGGTATGAGGCAACGCAACATATGGGCAAGCTGCCAAGACAGATGCCTCCTAAGAGCACTTTCATTGGAAGTGGACTTCTTTTTAGATGTCACATGAAGAAAAACCGAGAAACTTTTAATATTTTAATATATTTTTTTTAATATTTAATCATACGACCCTATGGCCATTGGCCTTTTTCAAGGGTCAAAAGAAAAACTAATGATACAAACATTTACAAAGTAAACAATCAACAAAACAACAAAAGAAAACAGAGAAGAACAGAGAGAAAACAGAGAAAACGAGAAATACATAAAAAACAAAAAAAAAATACACTCAACTAATCACATCTCAATATTTTTACAGCCCGTTTAAATTGTCCGTAAGTACACAAATCTTTATATTCTTCTTTTAAGGCATTCCAATTATATATAAGTTGATAGATTGGTGCACTTCTTCCAAAACTGTGCTTAATTTTTGGTAAAATCAAATTGTTTCTCCATCGGTAGTTGTAATTAGAAGGCCTAAAATATTTATTTAATTCTTTACTTGATCAGCTTGTTTGTGAGGCGCGAATCCACGACCAATATCAGTTTTCAATGGTTTTATCCAATAGTGGGCTTCATAGAGGTTTAACTACTCTTTTTAATGATTTATTAAAAGTTCATTCTTAATTCGAGCATGTGCTTTTATATTCCCTCTTTCAGTTTTTCTGTAATAGTTCCCTGTTACAGTGTAATCAGAGACAATCATAATGGCCTTCTGTACTTGACTCCTTTTAAATTTTAAAATGTGTTTGAAATTTTCAGATATCTTTCTTACAAGAAAAACACACAAAATATATGCCCACCAGGAAATTCAATGAATATGCTAATTACAGTTGAAATGATCCAATTTCAAGTTTAATTAATATTTTAAACTGGTAATTAAGCTTTGCAATATCATTATAACAACGGCTCGCTGTATATATATATATATATATATATACTAGACGTTATATAACTATATTATTGTTGTCTTCAGTAGGCATTTGGGAATTGTATTCATTAAGTTTTGCCTGTCTTCGTGTTCAGCCAAGTTAATGAATTTAATTCCCATGTGTATAAAGAATCTACTAACAATAATATGGTCATACAATGAGAATAGTACATTTCAGAAGTGGATACAGTATAGGTATAGTACATAATATTGTTTAATTACAATAAAATATATTCAGCTGAAAAATTTATGAAGTTAAAAATCATTTTGTAGGGATATCGCGATTAGTAACGCAGTAAAGAGAAAAACAAACGAAAACGTTAATCCAGAGGATGATTTTGTCGCTCGATATATGATACAATTAAATTGCAAATTGGCAAATTCGTGATTGTGTTGTTGCAGAATTTGATGGATTCATGCCCTCATTATTGCACAGAACCAAATTAAACAACTGAAAATTTTAACATAAAGGATCATCTTAATCAATAATGTTTAATGTATTCAGAACCACCTGAAAATAATCCAATCGAGAAGGTCCGAAAGATTGTATTGAATTCGTTTTGTGATGAAAGTGAGAAGAGAGACGAAAATAAATGCTTAATAATATGTAAAATTATGCACACTAATGGATTTTTTAATAGATAGGTATTCATATGTTAGTTTGAAAATATATTTAATTCAGAAATTTGCAATTTAGAATATATTGTGGATTTTACTGAAAGAAACTATGAATTTAAAATATGAAATTTTTTTACTTAAATCTTTAATTTTTATTATAACAATTGGATAAAGCCGGATGTTCGAGCGGTTATGATGGCAGCCTACCGCTCTGGGGACCCGGGATCGAGTTCATACGAATCGAAAAACCACAGGAATTTTTTGGTGGGGTCCCGTCTGGATATCTTGAACCCCATCTCTCACCACCGATTGTGAGCCTGGGCAAAAATGATCCTCTTAGTGATTAAAAGGCAGAACATTTTTTTCAAAAAGTAGGCTCTAGAGGCCTGGGTTTGAATTCGGGTGAGCAGTTCTTCGGAAATTTTTTATGTACAATCGAGCCCTGTTTCTGGATACCGACTTGCACCATTATGGACCTGAACGAAATTACGTGGTTATGAAAACAGGTCCTCTTTAGTACCTACAGAGGAGAAAAGAAAAACGGTTGGATTAAGACAAGAATCATATATTATCCAACCACATTTAATTTTCTTTTATATCTTGAATCAAATTTATGTAAATCGAAAGAGATCTTGTTCTTCCATTGATCTTATTTATCTAAATCGAATCTAAGAAAAATGATACATTTAGTGTCATTTTTCCTATAATTTTATAGGATTCTTCATCCGGGAAATTGGCTTCAATCCTGGAGGAATTTCTGGTGGTTTTGTCGAGAATTATGTTAAATAACGAGATTCTTGCCAGTTTAAAGTATTGATTTCTTGCATTACAAATAAATTTTGAAAAATCTAATCTATTTTTCTTACGAGGGACGATGTTTTCATCCAGAAAATATTTTTAAAAACATTGTTTTAATTGCGGCATTTTAAGAAATCGAAATTCTTGTAAGATTACATCATCTTAAGTACAGTCGCCATTTTTAAAATGGCGTTTTGACGACATCACGCCCACGCGTTGCGTCACATCCTGTGTTTATTGCAAAACATTAATATTTAAGAGTTTAAGTATTTAAATGATTAAACCGGAAATAAAAATTAATAAAGTTAGAGCTTCCGATTTTAGCCAAAACCGTCTTATTCAAAAACATTGTTACGTAAGTTAGTAATCTCGATATCGATTGGTGAAAATTTATTGAAAAATTTAGTATTTTAACGGATGACAAATAAATAATTTTAAGTAGCGGTTCATTTTTTAAAATATTTCATAAATATAATCTCGGTATTTAGTAGCAGTTTCCGCTTCCAGTGACATCTGGTAACTATGGTTACGCGTGTTTGAATATTGGAATCGATATCAATATTGAGTGCCATCTGGTAGTTGTAAACAGAAAATATGACAAATAAATAATATTGAATATTAAACTTTTATTTATTTACTTTTTAAATAGAGACCTGAGTAAAAAATAATTCATAAAATATTTTAAATATTATTTATTATTATTATTATAATTTCGTTTTTTGTTTTTTTTTTCAGTTACAGCGAATAACTTGAGCAAATCTCTCCCTAATGCATCTTCCGATTCTGATCTCTCACGTTTTCGAACTCAGGCTCAAGTCAAGTCTCCTTCTTTTAGTAACGACACACCTGATGGAGGGACTAAACAGAAAGACAACAGTCATTCGTCAACAACGTCCAAGTTTCTTAAAGAAATGCAATCTCATAGCAAACATCACGTCGGAGAAAAAGTGGCCCAGGTACGTTTTTTGACCGATAGATGGCGAAACGTGAGTCAACGCTATAATCAGGTAACGTTTTAAAATTTTCACAGTTAATCACTTAGAAAAAGAAAAGATATATAATTTTTTTTGTAATAATTATTTATTGTTAAATTCTTTTATTTATTATTAGTTATTTCGGTTCTCATAAAATTAAATTAAAATTTTACTGAGTTAAAAAAGAGGAAAAAAAAATTATTTCTCCAATAGATGGCGAAACGTATTAGAATAATTTATCAATTTTTCAATTACGTTTTCACTTTTTTTTTATTCTTTAGAAGTTTAGTTTTTAATTTCCTTTTCTTATAGTTATTTGCATGCCGGTTTAGTCTTTGCATGATTTTTAATTATTTTGAAAAATAAAATACTATTTTTTAAAAATAAAAAGTATAAATATTAATTAGTAATATTGATAACAGATGGCGTATACAAAGATTTACTTTAACAAATCTCCATCTTTTATCAAAATTTTCTCTTTGATTAATAGCGAGAAATTTTATATTTTAAAACGTAAAAACTCACGAAAATTAAATATACTGTGTTTATACTTTTAAGAGAAAAACAAGATTAAATTTACACAAAAGTGTAAAACGTGGGAATGTTTTTCCAGTGTAGCATGGTTTTGAAGCACCCTGTATGTGGGACTTAAGCATGCTGTGCTTTGAAACGGTATATCCTGATGTAAATTGATAGTAATATCATTATATGGATTTTTATTATTTAAAGATAAAGCACGAATTAACTTGATTTATGATTTTATTTTCTACATATGAATGCAGCAACACGCCATGGTGTATATCAACATACTTACTATGCATGCCGCCTCGTGGAATATAAATTTCATGTTTTTCTCGCGGGCATGCGTGATTTTTTTATTAGAAAATATAGTTTATATATTTTGATCCATTTCATTCAAAATAGTCTGTTGTTATTGCGACTTGAAAGTATCACAACGGCTCACTTTGGATTTGATCTAACAAGTAAGACTATACCAAAAAAGTTCTTGAGTGTGTCTAGGTGACAAGTTGAGTAAGTGAGCCAATGACAATTCGTTTTATATAAAACTGTCATTGGATTGCTTACTAAGCTAGACATACCCATTGTTTAATCTATATTAGTTCAAAGATTGTATCTATACTCATTAATATTAATTTTCAAGGTATATAAATCATCAGGGCCGTCGAGAGGGATGAAATGGGAATTTTTTCTGTGTCCAGAGAAAACTTAGTGCAAATAGGGATTCCTATCGCTATAAAATTAATATTATTTTCTCAACAGAAAATTAAATCTTTAAGGCTAATTTTTATTAATAAATTTTTTAAAAAGTTTCTAAAAGGACTCGCTCTACCATAGGACCCCATACGAGCTCTCGATGGCCTTTTCGATTATGTAGATTGTTAACTCCTTTTCGTCTTGAATGAACTGTAAGATCTAAGCTTAATTGCTAGCTATGATCCATTAATGTTTCTAATTTTTCATCCCTCTTTCCTCCTTTGTCAGAACACAATCGATAATCACAACAGATATTACTTTCAGAAGATTTTCATTGTACTCGTTAATAAAAACATTATTTCATTATATATCGCTTGTGTTTTTTGCTTCATTGAGGCTGTCATTTCGAATCTTTATACTTCATCACAGAAAGTTTATGCCAAAGGTTCTCATTATCTGTATTCGCCTTGAGTCCCTTGCGGTTTAGATCTCGTAATGAGAATTATTCGGGATTGCATTATAACTCACAACAACACTGCAAAGAAGTATAATTTATTCTTTCACTGAAATATTTACGTTTGCTTGACATAAACAACTGCAGCATAGTTAATTTAAGATTTATTGAGTGGAACTACATTCTTAAATGTATTTTCTAGAAGTTGTTACATGTGCAAAATAAAGAATTTGCAGATATTTATGTGCAATGTTCTGCTAGGTCAATTACCATTAATCCAAGCTTAATCTTTACTTGAAATCCTTGAGTTTTGCGTGTTCCTCAACTTCTTGTATCAGTCCATAAATTTGTTTAGTGAAAAAGAATGCTGTGTTCAGATACTGATGTATGTAGTAATGTAAACTATCGATAAAGATGGAAATTAAACACGCTACATACTTGCAGGAGAGCTAACAAGCACCATTCTTTCCTGCCATTAAGTTGTATCGTTACTTCTTGTTCCGAATCTCATAAATACACTTGTCAATGTTATATTGCCTACTAAATTACAATTAGAAATGCCTTCCAGGAATTAATTTAAATAAAAATTTGGATTTTTCTCTTTAACGTTATTTTAGAATCTAGAGTATGTAATTACTTATTTTTTTTTTACGTAGAAAACTTTCAAAACTACAATAGCGACATTGGAAATTTGAGTGCCATGTTTTGCATATATTTTATGAAATAAATTTTTTTAAATGTGGAAAAATATATTTAAATGAAATTATCTGTTTTTAATATTAATTAATCAAATTGTCTTCAAATTAAATTTTAAAATACATTTTATTGGCAGGAATTTCATAAAAATTGGACAAAACATGGCGTTAAGATTCCTGTTATTGCCTGTGTAGTCATAAAAAAAATCTCTATTTCGCCTCTTTTTATTGGTTATTACCATAAAAATGTCGTTAATATCATAAAAATCAGTCGGTAGTATAAAAATCGAAATTGTATTATATTTTTCTGCAATTTATAATTCAAACTACGAAAAAAATAAATAAAAAAATTTAAACAAAACCTCTGCAAAGATAGATTTATATTTTTTCTAATAATAATTGAAATTATTCCTTTACCATCTATTTTATTTTTTATGAGCATAAAGCAAAATTTCATAGTTTTTGAAACAATTTAGGTGCTAAAAAAATAGTTAATTGTGTTAAGGTAGAGCAGCTGTCTCTTGGTATTTGGCTTGATTCCAGTGCGACACACCCTTTCCATTGATCTTGTATCTAGGATAATAACTGTTTTCTCGGTTATACTGTAAGTTGTTAAGCTTAATCTATCGTAGATTCGACTAATTATTCCCTCATTTCAATACGAAAAAAAACGTTCCTCGCCGTTAAAATTCTAATACAAAACAATAAACTAACGAGGATTTTTATAATATATAATTTTAATAATTGATAAAATATTAATCGTAAATATATATATATATGTCATTTTTCCTATAATTTTATNTATTGGCCAGTTTGAATTTAAAAATAACGAACGTAATATCAATTTCATTTCAAATTGACCAATCATCGTCAGAGAAATATAAATATTATTACTTTTACAAGTAATTTTATTTAGATAATTTATTCTTTATTGTGGGTTTAATTAAAATAAAATAACTAATTTTTTACGACTAAAATAATTTTATTAAATTCAATATTATTGATAGAATAAAATAATATTTTATGGTAATTGAAAATACACGTGATTCATCAATTTTCTAAACTAAAATTATCATCAATTTAAAATGATTTTAATATATTTATTATATTAAATAGGTCTGTATGTATTAATTTTATTCTTGCGAATAAAAAAAAAAAAAGTTAATCGTTAAATTGATAAAGGCTAATTCCAAAGGGTAACTGTGATGACATAATTACGGTTGAGCAGATAGCTTTATTAAAAAACTATTTATATTATTATAATTATAAATGTATGCGAACCTCTTAGCAATGGCCACTGAAAAAAATGTCCGTTGTTCGGAGGCGGTCTTTGGATTTCTTTTGAATTCATTTTTGTTTAAAGAACGTTCCTGAAAAATGGCCCATTAGGCGTTATAGCTTCAAGAGGACCAGGCAAATTTGAATTAGAAGGCCCCATGTACAGAGTTGACTTCAGACATTTTTTTTTTCTGGAGAATTTTTTGTGAAAATATTTTTTATAAAAGATTGCTTGGGGCAATTGTCCCCTTTTGACCATAGGATAACGCTCAACTGAAATGGCCTCTGTTTAGAGGTTGTTGTAATTAGAAGTTCGACTGTATTTTATTTAATATTACTAAATATATTCTATTGATAAGCCGTTACTCATTATATGTAATAAAGTTTTGTTTTTTTTTTATTTTAAATTACTTTAATTACATTATTATAATTGTGGCTTTTGATAAGTAATTAAATACACTTAATACATTTTTTGTCAAATAAATGAAACTTCATTAAGTTGATAGAAATAATTATATTCGTTGATTATAATAAAACGTTTTCTTTCTAATTAAAACGCAAAATTTAAATATTTAAAAAGAATTTAAAGTATCAATAACGATGTTATTCACTAATTAATACGTACTAAATCTTTTGAAGTTAATTTATTACACTTTAATTATTAATTAAGCTTTCAAAATGGCGTAACCGATGCCGATTGGCAAATTTAAAATCATTTCTAACCAATAACATTCTACGATTTGGCAGTTATCGTTTCTATCTCACGCTTCCCGAGATTTGAACGGAAATAACTGATTACTAAATAGACGAATTTGATTGGATTTGACGTTATTTAAAAATATCCAATCATCTGTGTTTATTTTAAAAAATGGATTTATTTTTAAAATTATATTTATGTAGATTATTTAAATGATTTTTTTAATATAATTTTTTTTCTAGGAACCCCATAATTCATTTTTATAGCGTATATTATATTATTATTAAAGGGAAATCATTTTTTTTTATTATGTGATAGATTAATAGTGAGAGATGACGGATTATAATGCTAATACTACTGATTATCATATTTATGATAATATGCTGATTATCATATTACTATTCACTTTAGGGATTTAAGGCCTATACTAATAAAAGACGAGGGAATTTTCTTAATTTCTTACAAACTTTAGTATTACGTCACACGGATGAACTGTCTGCGAGTCACGTGCTCAAACGTCAAATCATGTGACTTCAGGCTTAAATGAAAAAGACAAATTTCAAAACGATTCCGTTATTTATAAGCTAACCGTTCTTGCATTAATACGTAAAAAGTTAATTATTATTTATTTAAAAAATTCATAAAATTTCTCGCCGAGAATAAAATTCCGTATCGTGAATAAATAAAAACAAGC